AGGCGTGAGGCGGAGGTTCTTCTCAGTCTTTGCGGCCCCTCGGGGCCCTCACCAGGCCTCGGGGCCGTGGGAAAACGGCCTCCTCGACGAAAGCCTGGTCCCGGGGAAGTGATCGAGAGTCGCAGGCCTAGAGATTGGCACCAACACCAAAATCGGCGGTACGCATCTACCGAGGGAAGAAGATCCCGATCTCGGTGATGGTGGTAATAATATGGCTTCAAAGTGACCGACATATTGCCACCAACACCGAAATCTAGGATCATCGTCCCCATGTGGAGGCAACCCCCTGTGTTGGTGTTGGTGCCCATTTCTAGGCCTCCAATCGAGAGGTCGGGGGCCCGTGTCTCAAACGAATCGAGGCGCTGGGTGCCTCGGGAGGGGGAGGACGTGCGGCAGGACCTGCAGTGCCCCGACCCCATCTACTCCGACCCCATTCAGGAGGTCATCCTCCACATGCCTCCCTGCACCTCTCTCCCTTTCATTCCCTGTCTTTCGCCCTCCTCAAGGTCGACCTCTGGACCTCTCCGGGGCAACGGGCTGCTGAACAGAATACCTGGCCGTGGCGACGGAGAGGCCCTCCCCGGCGGCCCAGAAGGCACGACGGACGCCTGAAGTCCTCGAACCTCGATCCTCCAGCCCTGATCCTCCTCCTTCCCCCTCTTCCCCCAGACCCCCTCGCGTCATGAACAAATCACGACGGGAGGTTTTTTGCTATGTTTGGCCTCATGGGGCCCTAGCCGGCCCTCGGGGCCGTCAAAAAATGAGCCGCGAGGAGAAATTGGTCCCGGGGGAAGGATCGAGACCTTTGGGGTCGACGTCTTGAAAAAATCATGAGGTCGTGGGTTTGGGCCCTCCTCACCCCGCCGTTCCTTCTGCGAGCGGCGCCGCGCCGAGCTGGGTGACCAGCCGGGCGCTCCAGTGCGGGCGCGCGGTGAGAGACAATTGTTCTTTTTGCTGGACGGCAAGAGCCACTTCGTGCCTGAAAGGCTACGGGTCCAACGATCCGTGCTGAGCATGCATCTATGTTGTGTGCGAAGCAGGGGCCCGACATGGGGTCGAAGGGTCTAGGGCGAGAACAAGACGGATAGGGTCGAAGAGCTTTCGTGAGCATTTCCGTATCCTTGCGTGCAAGAAGATCACTACATATTACAGTTCGGAGTGGGGCGTATGCTGCAATTGGAGGTTGGAGGTAATTACCAGAGAAGGTGGTGTTCACTCACTCTGATGTTTCAGGCCTGTCTCCATTCTGTTTCCGCGCACAACCACTGTCTTCGCACCAGTTGCGTTGTACTTGCTCTCAGACCGGCAAGCCGATTCCTCTTCTCGCACCAGTGGCACCGACCGTTAGCTTTGCGAGTGTTCGTCTCAGCGGTCTTCTTCGGTCTTCGGCTCTAGGTGAACATTTGTGGTGTCTCTCTGGCAGACACACTCCTCCTCAGCGGCGCATCAGCCTGTGGTTGACCGGGTCAGGGGCCACCTTTGGGTCTGCACCGGCCTTTGACATATTGGCCGCAGTAGGTGCGGAATGTCCGCTACTTTCCTGTGTTCATGTGCTCGGTCTCTGCCTTGTCGCCAGGGGTGTCTGCGCACCTGTAGCTGTCCATGTCCCACTGAACGCTGGTGTAGAAAAACGATGTACCTTTCACCTGTATCCCGATGAACTTCATATCCTGCCCGTTGACGGGCTTCAAGTAGGTTGGGTCTTGGGTCCGTGGCCTTCCAGGGCATTTGGATCGCGGAGAAGAGCGCCTCGAGCCCTGCTCCACCGGAGGCTCCCATGATGCCGTCCACGTAAGTCCCAACAAGACCAAAGAGGCTGGCGGCGGGGTCCGTGATGTCGATGCTCTCGATGCTGTTCTGTGTAGGTGATGCACCAAAGAGCCGGGTCAAGGGACGTCTGGACGGGGCGCCTGGCAGCACCGTTTACGGTCCATGCCATCTTGCGCAACGCGTTGTCTTTTTCGTGCTGCCACTGGCGCGGGCTGAATCGGGCGCCGTAGAGCGCCCGGTCCAAAACCCACAGTTTCTCCAAATATATGAGGCCCATCCTCGACAAGATTTTGGGCGGCCGGAAGCGATCTTTATGTCTTCCAGCCGCGTTGCGCCTCTGCGCGCCGCCAATTCTCCTCGGACTTCGGGGAAGTCGGCTCCTCCTGCAGCAGCTCCAAGGTCGCCCATTCGAGCGTTCGAGGCGGTGGGCTCTCAGCCTGGATGTTCCCTGTCGGCTCAACCGGCCATTCCTGTACATATGCGCGGCTTTGGTAACGTTGTCTGCTTGGCCGAAAGCCGTCGCGAAGGTGGCTCGCGACGCAACGTCGTCGCCTGGCGCCTGGCTCCCCAGCAGCATCCAATCTGGAACCACCAAACGGCACCGCAGGCCCAGGACAATTGAGCTGATGCCGTCGCTGGGCGTTGGCCGCCTCCAACACAGCCGTTCCCTATCACCTGTACTTACGGCCAGCCTGCAGCAACAGGTGCGCGCGAACTGCGCTTGATGCCGCCGACAGCGGTCTCGGCGACGCCGTTGGCCTTGGGGTCGTAGCCCTCTTTTCTGGGCGATGTGAATGCCGGCCGCGGGCGTCAAGGCGTCGAGTTTCTCGTTGGTGATCTCGCCGCCGCGGTCGTTGTGCAACTGTCTCACCTTGAATGGCATGGCATTGATTTGCGCCACCACGCTGAAGCTTTGCGAACCAGGGGCGCCCTTTGGGCTCTGCAGGAGAGGCTGCGGCAGCGTCGGCCTCCAGGCCATGCAGCCAGTCGCCCGCGGGCTCTTCCTCCGAGCTGGACCTCGTGTGCTCCTTGTCCGCGTTCTCTGTCGTGCATACGGCCGCGAGGAAGTGGAACGCCTCGTTCTCCTGCACCAGTTCTGCATTAAGGCACGTCGTGCCCACGTGATGGCCGTTCAGGTCGACTGCCAGCGCCCTGCCAAAACTGCAGTGGAGCCGCACGTGCTGCCACTTGTGCATAGCAGTGGACACCCCAGCGCAGGAGCGGGGAGTGGTTGTCGGAGGTGGGTAGACCTCCTACCCTGACACGTCGATTAGTGAATTGGCCGTTTTCGGTTCGCGAGAGGGCGTCGCGGCCGTCATTTTCGCGGGTCCAGGTCCGTCGGTTTCGGTCCCAGGCAGTTTTCACTAAGGGTAGGTTTACTAAAGGGAGGTTTGTCCACCGCCGAGGTTGTTCGCCACATGTTGCTGCATCTCCTCGCCTGCCGCCTTGGCGGCGCCGCACAAGCCGCACACCATCTCCTCGGAGACGTCGGGGCCACGGTGCCTGGCGTTCTCGATCTGGCGGAGAGCAACACGCATGTCAAGCAGTGGCGAAGCGTCCTGGCTCGCCTGTGGCCCTACCAAGCAATGTTCTAAGAACGCTTTGTGGTTTCCACGAAGTGTTCTTAGAACATTGCTGGCGGAGTCTGTTTTGTTTTATCACATCGGGTTTATGTTCTAAGAACATTGCTCTTGTTCTTAGAACATTGTGGGGTTACACGAACATGTCGTCGTATGACAACAAGAATGCCGGGACGGGCGGTCCCTGCTCAAGCACGTGCTCGGGCAGAGCCGCGTCGACGTCCTCCAGCATGGCGCGTCGCGGAGGCCGCGCGGGTGCACAGCTCCTTCGGGCCGCCACTCCTGGTGCCTGCCGCCTTGCGGGCCCGCAGCCGCAGACGCAGATGCTGCTGGCTATTTGGGCACGTCTTCCCCATTGATGGAAGTGCGAAGTCGGGCGTGTCCCTCTACAGGGGGAATCTTCAAGAATCGTGAAAAAATAGTCTGGGGACGATTTTTCTAATATTCTTGCCTAGGTCTGAAGATTCTTCGACTATGTTTGAAGGTTGTCTTTCAACATCCGCCTGTAGGAGGACCTGCCAGACCTACTGGAAGTTCGAAGTTGGACAGGAGACGGTCCACCATCTTGATGGCAGGATCCTCCGCAGTTGCCCGGGCTTCGGTGCAGAACCTTGCAGGATTTTCAGGATTCTGCAAGGCTTGATTGACCCGGGTCTGGATTGACCCGGGTCAGAAGATCCCCGAACGCTTCAGCGGCGCCGTAACGGGTACTTGCTAACGGGTACTTTGCAATTTTGCCGAAAGTTGCCACTTCAGGGCCTCTTTCTGGCGATGCAGCGTTGCCCGCATCGGGAAGGGTTGGGTTCGCTGGGTCACTGGCCAAAGTACCCGTTAGTGGAGTCCCCGTTTGAGGGGCGCTGAGCGCTGCTCCGGAAGCCCGCACGCTGCCGGCGGACGCCTGCGGGCCGTGGAGAACCCTTCTGGGCGCGCTTGGCTGGGCGCGCTCTCCGTGACCTCTCCGTGCGGGAGGTCGTCCACGGCATCCAGGGTTGTGCTTAGGGAATCAAAAAGTGTCCTCCTCCTCCTCCTCCTCCTCCTCCTCCTCCTCCTCCTACATAAACATCAAAACTCGGAGGTCCGCGCGGATTTCTCGGATCGGCGCTGGACCCCCCTCCCTGGCGCGCGGAGCGCGCCAGGGGCGGCGCCGGAGGCGCCGCCAGGGGGGCCCCAGCGCCGATCCGAGAAATCCGCGCGGACCACCGAGTTTTTATGTTTATGTCACTTCTTGTTTCCCGAATGATGTTCCATCCTACTTTAGCCTTGATCACCAGAGAGAATTTCGAGCACCAAACAAAGTACCGAAACGCGAGAGTTTTCACGTGTCGGGCCCTGGGTACGCTCTCCGTGATCTCTCCGTACAGGAGGTCGTCCACGGCATCCAGGGAATCTTCTGTGGGAACAGTGGGAAATTGACCCCGGCCCCCACAGCTATCGATTTTGTATGTCAACGTTTTGCAGCTGTGGCGGAGGTGTGTAAGTGTGTAGGCGCCTTTGAAGCGAGGCCATTGCCGCACACCTGGTCTAAAGTTCCTCATGTGGGGGGGCAGGGGTCGCTTTTCATGCGTTCACTGTAGGGCTGCACGGCTGCTTAGTGTGCCCTGGAAACGACAGGGTTATGATGTTCCAACCTAGTTTAGCCTTGACCACCAGAAAGAATCTCGAGCACCAAACAAAGTACCGAAACGCGGGGCTTTTCACGTGTCGGGCCCTGGGGGACACTCGTCCGACACTGTTTCGACACTCTTCCGACACTCTTTCGACTGTAGGGCTGCAGGGCCTTACTGGGCCCTGGAGACGACAGGGCCGTTTTTTTTAGCGGTTCCGTTTTGCCGCTTTTTTGCCGGTTCCGACGCCGTTTTCTTGCAAATTCCGTCGCCGTTTTTTTACGGGTCCCCGCTCCTGCTCCAATCTTGGAGCCGTCTTTGTTGCCGCTTCCCGTCGCCGTTTTCTTGCCGTTTCCATTTTCAAGGGACACGTTTTCGGACACGGTGAAAAAACGGCCCTGCCGTTTCCGGGGCCCACGAAGTGCAGGGCCGGTTGAGGCTGGCCTGAAGCATATCCAGGCGGAGCAGCAGATCGGAGCGGGTTCAGAGGAGTTTCTCCGTCGTGCTCTTGAGCATAGCGTACCGGACCTGCAGGTCTGCCAGGGCTAAGCCGAGGGGCGAGGCCCGTGCGCAGTTCTGCCTCCAAGACCGCACCCTGAGGCTGCACTCGTGGAGCGTGCCGCCCCCGCCCAGAACCAGACGTTGGATCTGATTACGGTAGGTTTGCGTCGTGTCGACCAGCGGCGACCCCAGCGCGGGCGTTCAAGGTTGAACGCCGCCGGCGACCCAGAATCGATCGATGTGGAACGATTGGACGTTGCGGAGACGGCCGATCGTTCAAGGTTGAACGATCTCTGCGGTGTCAAAAACCAAGGCTGGGGTCGGCACGACACGAACCTGCCGTAGGCATGCTGTTCTTATCCTCGGTGCCCCCCCGGCGCGAAATCCTTTATCGGGTATGGCCAGGACCCCAGGTAAGGGGACCCGGTTAGTGGTAGGGCCCCGGAGCCTTTGCATTGGCCAGGATCACTAAACCAGGTTTGCCATAGCTGGTGTGTTTCTTCGGGTGACGGCAGTTCCTGTGAGTGGAGACGGGACGGGGGGGCGCCTCCGGTACAGATCACTAAGCCAGGTTCCACTAGACCCAGTTCTGCCAACGCCCGACTTCAGGATCGCGAACAGCACCATGGGGATCTCGCACGCGATGCCTGGCAGCCGGTGCGCGAAGGCGGCGCCGCGGAGTCGTCCAGGAGCGGCTTCCAGCACCAGAGGGCGCAGTGTCGACTCCACCCGTTGCCACCGCTGAGGCGTGGGCACCGTGGCCTTGACCTGAGCCCTCTGCGACAGGCTGGATCGGAGAAGGTCTGCGTAGAATTAAGTCGGGCCTGTCCCCCTACAGGGGGATTTTCGACGAAAAATAAAAATACTCCAAAAAATAGTCCAAAAATAGTCTGGGGACTATGTTTTGAGTATGTTTGGACCTTTTGGGGTACTCTTGGAGTTTTTCCCCACATGTTTCGTGGGGTTCTGGTTTTCTTCCCTGCCGCGGCGCACCCGCGTCTCCTCACCTCCCCTCCTCTTCATTCCTCTCCTCAACCCGCGGTCAACACATGCACGGCAAGTACATGAGACACGCGTCTACATACAGCCGCACGCATGCACACTTTCGCACACACAAAACGCATGTTCACTGCATCATACACCCAAGACGTCTGCACAATCCGTGAGGGTCGTCCAGGGCACAGCAGGCATGGCATATTCTCGACACCATAGGGGGTGCGCAGGGGGTGGTTTCTCACCGCGGCCGCTATCCGTGACGGTCGTCCAGAGCACAGTAGGCATGGCATATTCTCGACACCATAAGGGGGTGCGCAGGGGGTGGTCTCTCACCGCGGCCGCTATCCGTGATGGTCGTCAAGTGCACAGCAGGCATGGCAGATTCTCGACACCATGGGGAGTGCGCAGGGAGTGGTCTCTCACCGCGGCCGCTATCCGTGACGGTCGTCCAGGCAGGGCACAGCAGGCATGGCAGATTCTCGACACCAGAGGGGGTGCGCAGGGGGTGGTCTCTCACCGCGGCCGCTATCCGTGACGGTCTTCCAGGGCACAGCAGGCATGGCATATTCTCGACACCATAGGGGGTGCGCAGGGGGTGGTCTCTCACCGCGGCCGCTATCCGTGACGGTCGTCCAGGGCACAGCAGGCATTGCAGATTCTCGACACCAGAGGGACAGCAGGAATGGCATACTCTCGACACCATAAGGGGGTGCGCAGGGGGTGGTCTCTCACCGCGGCCGGTATCCGTGATGGTCGTCCAGTGCACAGCAGGCATGGCAGATTCTCGACACCATATTGGGTGCGCAGGGGGTGGTCTCTCACCGCGGCCGCTATCCGTGACGGTCGTCCAGGGCACAGCAGGCATGGCATATTCTCGACACCATAGGGGGTGCGCAGGGGGTGGTCTCTCACCGCGGCCGCTATCCGTGACGGTCGTCCAGGGCACAGCAGGCATGTCAGATTCTCGACACCATATGGGGTGCGCAGGGGGTGGTCTCTCAGCGCGGCCTCTATCCGTGACGGTCGTCCAGGGCACAGCAGGCATGGCATATTCTCGATACCACAGGGGGTGCGCAGGGGGTGGTCTCTCACCGCGGCCGCTATCCGTGAGGGTCGTCCAGGGCACAGCAGGCATGGCAGATTCTCGACACCGTAGGGGGTGCGCAGGGGGTGGTTTCTTACCGCGGCGTTATCCGTGACGGTCGTCCAGGGCATAGCAGGCATGGCATATTCTCGACACCAGAGGGGGTGCGCAGGGGGTGGTCTCTCACCGCGGCCGCTATCCGTGACGGTCGTCCAGTGCACAGCAGGCATGGCATATTCTCGACACCATAAGGGGGTGCGCAGGGGGTGGTCTCTCACCGCGGCCGCTATCCGTGACGGTCGTCCAGGGCACAGCAAGCATGGCATATTCTCGACACCATATGGGGGTTCGCAGGGGGTGGTCTCTCACCGCGGCCGCTATCCGTGACGGTCGTCCAGGGCAGAGCGGTATCGGCGGGGCAACGGCCACCAACATCATTCTCACATGCTTCATTTCAGCTTTCATCACTCCAGCCATAATATAAGTATGTGGGGTTCCTCGGTAGCGTAATTTTGTTTTTTGTCGAAAATCCCCCCTGTAGGGGGACAGGCCCGACATGAGCCTAGAACACGCCTTCCGCCCACGCCTAGAGCATCTCCGACTCGAAGCTCACGGCCTGCACCACAAGTTCGGCCCCGTGCAGCCGCTCCCTCACCCGCCTCGTTTTTTTTTGCCGTCGAGCGGCGGCAGGGGCGCCACGGAGCGAAGGCCGTCGGTCGGCGCCTTCAGCGCCGCCGCGTCCATGAGTTCCTTCGGGTTGGTTGTATTCCAGCCGGCTGGCTGCGGTGCGGGGTCGCCACCTGCCGCGGGCTATTGGTCAATGTCAAGCAGTGGCGAAGCGTCCTGGCTCGCATATAGCCCTACCAAGCAATGCTCTAAGAACCGTTTGTGGCTTCCACGAAATGGTCTCAGAACATTTCTGGCTGGGAGTGTCTTGTTGTATCACATCGGGTTCAGGTTCTAAGAACCTTGTTTTTGTTCTTAGAGCATTTTTGGGTTCTAAGAACATTTCGTGGTAGGACTATTGGGAATGCCAGGACGGGCGGTCCCTGCTCAATGTTGGTCAGTGCCTGCCTGCTCCGGCACTTGCGCCAGCTGCGCGAATTCCCTCGTCGCGCAGGCGGCGCCGTCCGTCCGCACAGCGAGCGCGCGTCTCCGCGGTCTTTCCTCGGTGTGCGGCCTGCGGTGGAGGTCTGTGGCATCGCTCCAGCAGGCTCTAGCATGAAGTCGGGCCTGTCCTTCTGCAGGAGGAAGATTCACGACTAGTAAAAGAACAAGCAGTCTGGGGACAATCTTTTTTGCGTAGGGTTGACCAGTTGGGGGAATCTCTTGACTATCTCTTGTGTTTCGTCCACCCCCCCCCCGTAGGGGACTATTTTTTGGGTCGTGTTGACCAGTTAGGGGGAATCTCTTGACTATCTCTTTCTGTTTCGGCCAACCCCCCCCCGTAGGGGACTATATTTTTGGTAGTTATGACCAGTCGGGGGAATCTCTTGACTATCTCTTTCTGTCTCGGCCAACCCCCCCCCCTGTAGGGGACTATCTTTTGGGTAGTGTTGACCAGTTAGGGGGAATCTCTTGACTATCTCTTTCTGTCTCGGCCAAACCCCCCCCCCTGTAGGGGACTATCTTTTGCGTAGTTTTGACCAGTCCAGGGAATCTCTTGACTATCTTTTTATGTTTCGGCCAAAACCCCCCCCCGTAGGGTACTGTCTTTTGCGTAGTGTTGACCAGTTAGGGGGAATTTCTTGACTATCTCGTTATGTTTCGTCCAACCCCCCCCCCCTGTGGGAGGACGGGCCCGACCTAACTCTTCGTTAAAGGCTTAACGACTTCTGTCGTCCTTCGACTCGCGCTGGAGCGGCCGCGAAGTGCTCGAACTTTCCCTGGAGATCTCTGGATTTACCTGGATTTACCCAGATTTATTTAGATTTACCTGGATTTACCTCGATTTATCTGCATTTACCTGGGTTTATCTGGCTCGATTCTCACAAGTCGATTGGCGAAAAGTCGACAAGCCCTTAGGGAACTCTGGCAGACACGCGCCTCCTGTGCCGGCCGCGCCCCCCGCCTCCGCCAAGGGCGGGGGGGAGAGCTGCACGGGCGCGGCACGTCGTCGACGGCAAGCCTGGCAGGGGACGGCCTGGCCGAGCAGCGGGCCGGAGGTACCCAGGAGGGAGAGACACGCGCAGACACAACTACACCTTAGGCGATGCTTAAGAAAACTTAAGTTTTCGGCCAGAGTCTCGATTATTCTTAACGTTCCAGTGTAAATCCTAAGATTTTGATAGAAATGTTGGGTTTTTACTCAAGTTCTGAGACTATGAATTTCTTAACCCATGATTTCTTAAGCATTTCGCAGGGTGTAGTCATCGACTCCCCTGAAATAATATGGGAACATATGGGAAGTGGGGGGTAGACGAAGACCCCCAAAAACTATCGGGAAATGTGGGGAGTCGGTCTTA